ATTCTGCCTCAGGGTCAGGGTGCTGGGCTTATAGATGTGTGTTGAGTAATATTCTGGATAATGGATACAGGATGTCTTGTGCATGTACCAGTGGATTTTGGTTCCTGTGAGTAGTGCTGCCATGAACCTGGATATGCAAGAGTCTCTTGGAGATCACTTCCATTGTTCTGGGTGTGTATCCAGAGCAGTGCTTTCCTATGAATACACACTTCAGTGGATACAATTGTGTGTGTGTGTGTGTGTGTGTGTGTGTGTGTGTGTGTGTGTCTGTGTACGGGCATCTGTGTGTAGACCACAGGTTGTTTTAAGTGTCTTCAATCATTCTGAAGTTGAGTTTCTGAGTCAGGGTCTCTTACTGATTTTAGAGTCACTGATTCTATTAGGCCTGGGTCCCTGACTTCCCAGGGCTGGTTTCTATGTTTGCCAGGCTTCTTCTTTTTTTTTTTTTTTTAAATGAAGGCGCAGAGGACTCAAACACCAGGCAGGTCCTCATGCTTGTCTGGTGTGTACTCTGCCGACTGTTTTCCTAGCCCCCAGATGTGATGAATTATTGAGGAAAATGTCCTCCTGACCCACTGTGTAGAATGCAACTTGAACTCATGTTCTTTTTCTGTCCAAAGAGTCAGAGCAGCTATCCATGCCCCACTAGTCTGGTTGGGGCCTAGATCTGGGGAGCCAGTGAGGGAATATTTCCTTCTCTCCCCCCGAGGCTTAGTAAGAGGTGATCCAGAGAGGGCAAGCAACCTGGCCAGGACCCTCAGGTCAGAGTGGGGGAGTAACAGCATAGAGGGGTGTGATCAGGGGATAGTACTAACAAAGTCCCCTTGACTCTCATAGACCCAGTGGTTCTCAGGGTTGGCCTGACTGGCTCAGTGATGGCTCCAGAGGAGGATTTGGGCCTAGTGTTTTGCCTCAGGGTCTTTTCTGTCTCGCAAATTATCTTCAGGTTCACATTCTCTGGGGGCTCCATTGAAACTGCCTGGAGCCCAGGAGATGAGGTAACCAGAGGCCAAAAAGAGAGAGGAATGAAGGGCTGTAGGGCAAGAGAGGTTCAGCTCTCAGGGACAGTAGGAGAAAGCCCGATACGCTCTCAAACTAGACAAGCAGAAGTTGGTATGGGGAGTACCAGCCATGTGGGAGGCTGGCACTGGCCATTTTCAGCAGCCATCTATGTGGTCCTTGCTGTGGACTCTGCCAAAACACTGGTCCTTTGGCCAGTACCAGAACCAGAGGGCTTAGGACTTCCTTCAGCTGCCCGGCCAGATCTTGGGAGGAATTCTGTTTGCCTAATGATTCAGAGAAACAAACAAGCACAGGAATGCTCCGAATCAGGGCAGCCCCGCCGCAAAATCAAATTGACGCTATTCCTTTTACCTCTGATGTTGGGGTGCAGTTCCTGGCCCCAGTTCCTTCCGGGCAGGATGAAACAGCACTCCCATGGTCATTGCTTCACCACCTCTCTCCCGTTGGCCCCTCCAAATAAACCTAGAGAAATTTAAGATGCTTTTCTCCCTTATCAAGGAAGTTCCTGGCTTAGTAAAGACCCGCTGGGAAGCCTGCCCCTTCTGTCAACACCTGAGGCAGTTCCTGAAAGTGGCAGGGCTATGTAACCACTCCAGGGCTGTCCCCTTCCCCAGCTGGTGCTACTTCCTCTCTGCCCCCTCTGAACAATGGACTATCAGTCTTTTGCATAAAGCCCCAACAAAGCCCAATCAAACAGGAAGATGCACTTTCCCCCCAAATGCCAACTTTGTAATCAGAGTTGGACTTGGCGGTAGGCTCAGCTCAGCCCCAGGCTTTCAGGATACCCATGCAACACATGGTTAAGTATGGGATAGGACTGGATGAGAAGCCGTCAGGATCATAAAACCTGTGTTTTTTTATGTGCTGTGATTGTGCCTGTGTCCAGAATGACGGGCTAGGAAGTGCTGCTCTGCTCTGTGGATGAGGATGCAGGAATACTTTCTAGTCTCTTGGTTAGCCTCAAGTCTCAGGGAAATCTCCGGGGGCGGGGGGACAGTGGTGCACTGCCACTGAGGCCTTTCCCAGAGACCAGGAGCAAGCGCAGAGGGTCCTGTGCCCACAGAGACTCTGGTATTCACGGTACAGCTGCTCTTACAGATGAGGACTCTGAGGCACGGAGAGGACGATGGGCTGGTCCAGGCCACATAATACAGGATGCCATCTTCTGTCCAGGAAGTAAACCATAAGACAAAGTGCATCCCTGGCTTCCCAGGAAGAGTCCTTAACCACTCACCCCTGGGGAGGAGTAAGAAGGTTGAGGGATCTCAGGTCTGCCCCGCAGGGCACGTGGATTCTCTGAATCAGGCTGATCTGAGGGCCCCGGGACTTTGCCTACAAACTGGAAGGGACAAGTGTGGGCAGTGGGGAAATGTGAGCCCTGGAGCTCCAGATGCTGAGAGCTGAGGCTCTACCCAGCTCATATGGACCAGTGACAGGCTGGGCTGAGAGTCAGGCTGTGTCAGGGCTGGGGGCGGGGCGGTAGAATGGGTCTGATTGATACCTTAATGTTAAGTGGGAGCAGGCCCAAGGCTTTGCCTTAGAAGCTTCTGGGGTAGGAAGGGGAGCGAGCTGGAATGAGCATACTGTCCCCTGGAGAACTCAAAGCATCCTCCAAGGCCGGGGTAGACTTGTAGATGAGGGCTCTTTGTGTGAGGGTCAAGGAGTCTTGGCATTTCCAACCACACCTTCAATTCACCAGGCTGTCCAAACTGGCTGCTTTTTGCCTTTCTGTCAGGCTGATCCCAAAGTGGTCCAGCTGCATGAGCGTTAATCTCCACAGAATCGCCAGGCTGATCTGCTAGGATCAAGGGATATCAGATGCTGGCTTCTTGTCCCACATTGGGGGGCAGAGGTGGGGCCAGTAGCCAGACAACAACATGACAACAATGCTCTGTCCTGTTCTGGTCCCTAACATTTCCCTAACTCCATGGCAACGGCTGGGGTGTAATCCCAGCCCTTCCTTTCTGGACTGCAATGAGCCATTCACTTATCAGCTCTTCAAGGAAGGGCTCCAGCCCAGCCCAGGCCCAGCCCTAGAACCGAGTGGCCTCAGGGGCCAAGAAAGGAAGGCTTCTGGACCACTGCCCTAGTCGCATGGCCCCTGTGCCTCTGTGTGCACAGTGTCCTTGCTGTATGTCCTTTCGAACAGTGAGGCTCCAGCAGCTGAGCACAGACCCCACCAGTGATTCATCCCACAAGTCAGGCTTGACTGGCTTCTAGGTTGAGCCATTGCTGCTGTGCCTGCCCTGGATCAGAAGCAGAGCAGGCTCCATCCCAGGGTGGAAGAAGGGGCAAGAAGCCAGCCAGACTGACTGGGGTCTGAGGGGTCAGAGTGGGGCTAAAGGTGTGGGCGTGGGACAGAAGCCACTGGAGCCTACAGGGTGGATTTGTGAATTGAATCCTTGTTGTTGAGACGTTAAGCTTCAGGGAGAGTACTGGTTGTAACTGGGGTTCAGTTAGGTTGGAGTTACATGGGAACCGTCAACAAACCTGGTAGTTGATGCCCAGTGGCTGAAGTACCCAGAACTGGGTACTAAAGGAAACTCAGTACCCAGACGGCCATAACAGGGCTAGGCAGTCACATGGGCCTGGTTCCCAGAGCAGCCCTTCGAATCCTGTGTGCCAAGGCCTAGAGATGGTCTGTCTGGTCTGTGAGCTGGTCAAGGGATCAGCTTACTGTGGTTCAACCCAGTCTCGGACATGATGTGAAACCCATCAAAATCAGGTTGATAACTCAGAGGGCCAGAGGGTCAGGACGTGATTTGGGCATGTTTCTTTGTGCTAGGGCCATAGACACTGTTCATCCGGGAGCCTCCTGCCTTGTTGCCAATGGTGTGGGGAAGGCACAGCCATGGTTGTGCACTTACCCCAGTCTGGGACTGGTCACTGCCTGCAGCTCCTTATGGCCTCCTCATTGAAACTGGTTCCAATAACATGGCCTACCCATCCAGCCATGGCCAGCATGGCCACTTAGCCTGCCTCACAGCAAGCTACTCTTCCCCACCCTCTCCTCTCCAGGCTCAGCACTCAGTGCCAAGGTCAGTCCCAGCTCTGCAACAGTTGGTGTTTGGGGCAGGATGGGGGGGTTTCATGTGTCTAAGCCCCAGCCTGCCTTGCTCATATATCCCATGACCTCCCACACCTTTCCCTGTGTGCCCACTCATTCATTCATCCTTCAACTCACTCATTCACCCATTCACTCATAGTCCATTCATGCTTCACCTGTTCATTTACGGATCTATTCATTCATTCACCCATCCTCACTCACCTATTGATTGGTTTATCCATCCATTCATTTACTCAATTGTCCACTCACTTTTGCATTCATTCACTCATTCATTTATTCATCTACTTTGCTCATTGATTAATCCACTCATTCACTCATTTATTGACTCATTCACTGACTTATTTGCTCATTGATTCACTCACTCAGCCATAATTCCTCTGAGGCTCCATACTCCTGTGATATGTGAAGTGTTTCTCTCTCTCTCTCTCTCTCTCTCTCTCTCTCTCTCTCTCTCTCTCACACACACACACACACACACACACACACAGCTCCTCTCCAAGGCAAGAGGGAATGTCTGCCCAGAACAGCTCTGCGGTAGTCTCAGAGGCAGCTTTTTCTCAGTCTGGAAGATGTGTCTATTGTGGTACCAGGAACTCATAGGTTAGAATGGCCTGGGTAGGTCTGTTGGGGGGGAGGCTGCTTGGAGAGGACTACACAGGTCAGACCTGGAGGAACCTCAGGGAAGCCAGACTCCACCTGCAGACACACCCACCTCTGACTGCTGCCACTGACCAGCCTAAAGTGACTGAGTGCCCACTGTTTACCTGGGTGAGGGGAATGATAGGCCTGCCCCGCCCACCAACGTGAAGCCACTGGTGCTCGAGCCAGCTCTCAGGCTACAAAAGGCAGCTGGTGACTTGAGTCTGTCCTCAGAGGCTACCAGTGGGGACGTTTTCCCATGCTCCACAGCATGGGTGTCGGCCGGAGGAAGCTGGTCCCATTCTGGGTCCTAGCCCTGGCCCTGACTTGCAGTCAACACACAGGTAAGATTCAAAGTGTCCAGCTTTTCCAGGCCATTTGGAGAGACATTTTCCTTCCCCCATGCCCTGGACTCAGGTGGGCAGTGGAGTTCAGAGTCTTATCTGGGTCCTGGCAGCTAAATTATCTGTGCGAGGGTCCTGCCAGGCATCCCTTGCCTGTGCCCTGACAAATTCAAATGGTCTCTGACTTAAGAGGCAAGGAAGTACTTCTAAGTGCCAGGGATTGAGGTTGACATCCAATGTGGGGGAGCAGAAGGCGTGTCTCAGAGCCCCCCAAGCTGGTCATAACAGGCTCTCAACCCTCTCGTGTGCCCTGGTTGTGACAGTTTTACCAGAGCACAACCTCTTTGGACTGTCATAAGCTCACAAGACACCATGGGCTGTATATGTTGTAGGCCCAGCAGGGTGTCCTGGGGATGTGGTTTCTCCCACCACAGCCTCGAAACAGATGCAGGCACCAGGAAACTAGACTTAGTTCAGGCCAGTCACAACTTCGCTCGAAGCCTCTTGTGTAGGTATGGGGGTGGGCCATTCACCCGCCATCATAGTGATTCTGTGCTTCAGGCCATTGATGAGTGATAATTATGTCCTTCCTTCCACCTGCACACGGATGGCCAGCAGCCTGGGCTGTCTGAGGCTCCTGCTCTCTTCTCAGCTCAGGCCCATCTCCTCTTTGCAGGCCAGGCCCATCAAGACACTCTGAAATCTGCCCAGGAGCCTCGCTCTGACTTCTCTCTCCTTCAAGGGCATGATGGTAAGTCCTAGCCTTTTGTCCCCACTATGCCTGCCATATCCCCTCCCAACTCTACCTTAATGTGACCTTGGGTCCCCCAGGATTTCTTGCCTTAATGGCTCCTCAGCTAGCACACTGAGGAGTGAGAACTTGGAGCTGAGGTGTACCCTGTTGTACATGACTGTTGATCCAGCCCCTGGTGGCATCACAGGCATCCAGGCTCAGGCTCTGAGAGAGATGCAGAAGGTCTGTCAGACTGCCTGGGGAGGCTATGCCCTCTGCAGCATAAGGTCATTGTTCCACCTGCGTAGAGCCTATCGCCGTTTCTCTTGGTTTGATTAACCTGTTTCAGTATTACATTCACCATCTGGGACATGACCTAGGAGCTGAGGGATTGGCCACACATGCCAACGCAAGGGGTCTGGTGGGGCGTTGGGGGCCAGCCAGCTCCTTGCAGTTTGCATTCCCCAAACGGGTTAAAAAGGGAGGGGGGCCTGAGAGGTTGAACTACTGACCTAGATCCAGGCATTTGTGAGAATCAGGACATAAATTCCCACGTGCAAACAGAAGTTTCTGGGCTCTGTGGCCACTATGGGCTGATGAATCCAGGGGTTCCCTAGGGGACAGTGAGAGAAGAGAATGCTATATGTAGGCATCAGGCTGGGCCCTGCCCTACCTGGTCCTCAATAGGACCCAAGCTGGACTAGAGACCTAGGAGTCTGCTTCTGCTGACCCTGGGCCCTCTCCTCTGGGCCACAGTGACCCTAAAACCTCACTCAAGGCTGTGTGCATCCCATGATTCAAGCCTCTGTCTCCACAGCTGTCCCACTCCATGGGGTGACCATCATCCCACCTCTGAAGACCGTCCCCGTGGTACAAGGTGAGTGAGCCCCAAAGTCTATCTGGGAAAGTGGCTCTTCTTAGCAGGAGTACTCACCCTTAGACCTGAAGAGCTAGTTTAGAAAGGGGTCCCTGATTCCTGGCTGCCAATAAGCATGGGGAAGGTTGGGGGGCATTCAAAGTGGCCGTGAGCTGGTCCCAGGGCTTCCTACATCAGATGGGATCTTAGATCTACAGGAGGCAGCAGCCTGTCCAATCCCAGTGGCACAATGAAAACAGATACCCAGTGTAGAACACAGAGGGCATAACAGAGCCCAGAACAGTGCCTCCAAAGCCTGCCATTGCTTCGGTCCGCAGCTCTCAACCCAGCACATACCGGGAGGGTGTGCAGCACATGGGGTGACTTCCACTACAAGACCTTTGATGGCCAGGTCTTCCGCTTCCCTGGCCTCTGCAACTACGTCTTCTCTGCACACTGTGGGGATGCCTATGAGGACTTCAATGTCCAGCTCCGCCGTGCCCGAGAGTCTAATTCCACCACTCTGAACAGGGTCATCATGAAGCTCGACGGCCTAGTTGTTGAGCTGACCAAGAGCTCCATATTAGTCAATAACCACCTGTGAGTCTGGGGCAGTATTGGATGGGTGATGGAGGTGCTGCGTGGTGAGGGGGTCTGTGGGAGACACTGGGGTTATTAGTGAGACTCCACTCTCAGGAGAGACGCTGAATAGGCACTCCCCACTCCATGCTCAGGTTACTCCTTCAGGTCCTTAATAGAGGCATTCCAGGTCCCTTGTCTCTGTCACACACATGGCTGCAGGGATCTTGTCACCTGGGCTCTCTCGTCTCCTTGCCCCCCAGTACCTTATCTCTACTCTCTTCTACAGGGTCCAGCTGCCCTTCAGTCAGTCTGGGGTCCTCATTGAGCTCAGCAGCGGCTACCTGAAGGTGGTGGCCAGGCTGGGCCTGGTCTTCGTGTGGAATGATGACGACAGTCTCCTGGTGAGGATGGGGGATGGGTAGGGGTGGGCAGAGCCTTCTGGTAAAATGGGGGTCATGGGTGTAGCCTCTCAGTGAGATGAGGCGGCGGGTGAGGAGAGGGGGCATAGGCCACACAGCTGATGAAGATAGGCATCCAAACATCAACAGAGTCTCAGGGTCTTCACCCCCAGACATAGGTCCTGTGTATGTGGGAAGTTTGCTTCTGAGTCATGGCTTCATTTGACTTATGGGGAGGGTCTTTTGGCTTGTGTCCCCTCTGGAGCCCTTAACCCCTTTTTTGAGAGTCTATAGTTCACATCCTGGGTTGTCTATAGTAGGGTCAGATGTCTCCTTAATTTCAGTTGGAGTTGGACACCAAATACACCAACAAGACTTGTGGTCTCTGTGGAGACTTCAATGGCAGTCCAGAGTCCAGCGAGTTCCTCTCTCACAGTAAGTCCCCAGGCAATGCCCTAGGATCCCAGGAGGCTTAGTGTCTCTCTCTCTGTGTCTCTCTCTCTGTCTCTCTCTCTCTGTCTCTCTGTCTCTGTCTCTCTCTCTCTCTCTCTCTCTCTCTCACACACACACACACACACACACACCCCTGCTGTTCACACAGGCATACATATCCACACAGGCTTCCCTCCCCACAATTACAGCTCATGCATAAGTGCACACACACACCTGGACACACCTACACTTGTGTGCATGCACATAGGTGTATACAAGAAACAAGCTTCCTGTCAGACCACTCGTTCTTGGTATCCCTATTCTGGGGACACAAACCCTCCTTCTTTCTTCACCCTGGGAGGGTCACACTTCTTTATCTCCAACCAGTGGCATCACAAATGTGGCTGCATCAGCCAGATACTCCAACATCCCTCCTCTGTCAGTCCCCCCAAGTCCCATATGAGCTGTGGGTGACAGAGACTGCCTATGCATATGACTGCCCATCAGGGCAGGCTGTGTGCAAGGTCAGCCAGAGTCTGAGGGCTGGTGGGATGTCAGGTTCATTCTACAGTCCTCTGGGCTGCGTCACAGCCTGGCCAGGATTGATGGCTATGCATCTGTTAAGGCCTCTCTACCTTAATCCTGTTGCCCTAGGAACTCCAAGCTCTTTCTAGGCTCCTCTCATGGGTTCCAGATATCAGCATCTCGGGGAGTGAGACTGGGGAAGCTAGGCAGGGACCACAGGACCACAGGGGCATTCTCCAGGGGGGGCCCCTTGGACTTGGCTGTTGGGATGATGGGCTGGGGGCCTGGGATCTGTAGAAAGATGTGCTCTGGGCTTCCTGCAGATGTTAGACTGACACCTCTTGAGTTTGGGAACCTCCAGAAGATGGACGGCCCCACAGAGCAGTGCCAGGACCCCCTCCCTGTGCCCCAGAAGAACTGCTCCACCAAATCTGTGAGCCTTGAAAGAAATGGATGGGAAGGGTGGGGAGGAGGGCTTTGGGCTCTGGGATAACCCAGGTGCTTCTGGGAAGCTTGGGGTCTGAACTCAGCATGGACCCCACCCTTGTCCAGGGCATCTGTGAAGAGATCCTGAAAAGTCAGCTGTTCTCAGACTGCTCGGCCCTAGTGGACATCAGCAACTACCTGGAGGCTTGCAGGCAGGACCTCTGTCTCTGTGAGAGCCCCAACCTGTCCAGCTGTATCTGCCAAACTGTGGCTGAATACTCCCGGCAGTGTGCCCATGCTGGAGGAAAGCCCCAGGACTGGCGGGGTCCCAACCTCTGCTGTAAGTGCCCTCAGTCCCCTTTCCCCACCATCAGAGCATCCTCCAGCAGGGAAGTGGGACCTGGCTTGATCTGAGCTTTCTCTCTGGTCTCCCTGCAGCTCAGACATGCCCCCTCAACATGCAACACCAGGAATGTGGCTCACCCTGTGTGGACACATGCTCCAACCCCCAGCACTCTCAGGTCTGTGAGGACCACTGTATTGCTGGCTGCTTCTGTCCTAAGGGTAAGATGGAGTCTCTACCTCACCAGTCCAGACACAGGACCTCCAAAGCGCGCAGCTGCATGGGTGGTCATGTTGCCATTCTTCAGCCTTGGTGAAAGACCCTAAGACCCTGGTCCCAAGTGTCTCTGTGCTGCCAAGGTTTACTGAGGCTCTTAGATGACACCTATCACATGGGTTTGCTTTCTATAGGAATGGTGCTAGATGACATCAACCAGACAGGCTGTGTTCCCGTGTCCCAGTGTGCCTGCCTGTACAATGGGACATCTTATGCGCCTGGTACCAATTACTCTACTGACTGCACCAAGTGGTAGGTTTTGAGCTCCCCTTTCAAGAGCCTGCCATATGCCAGGGTTACTTCCCCAGGCTCTGTGGACTGGTTAGGTCCCAGACTGCTGTGGTAAATGCCCTCTGCGCAGAAGCCTTCAGTCTAGATGGCAAACATGTCAGGACTGCTGTTCCTGGGAGCAGTACACAGTATGTTCTTCTTCCCACCCGTAGCACATGCTCTGGAGGGCGGTGGAGCTGCCAGGAGATCCCGTGCCCTGGCACCTGCTCCGTGCTGGGAGGCTCCCACTTCTCCACATTTGATGAAAGGCAGTACACAGTGCATGGGGATTGCAGCTACGTGCTGAGCAAGGTGAGGCCTATGCTGCCCTGGATGGGGCCTTTGACTTGGGTCGGGGGGCTCCCCAGTTATCACTAGTCTAGGCCGCCCATCACTCCTGCACCAGGGAGACCACGGGAACTTCGTGGTGAAAATGAAGGAATACTTCTGCCGAGTGGCCCAAGGCTCCATGGGGTCATTCATCTGTTGATGGAGCCTCTAGTGCTGCATGACTCCTGCTCGTGGCTTTGGCCCTTCTAATCTTGTCTTCTTAAAGAGACTTATTATTTTATTTATATACTTTCACTTCTGTCTATGCTTGTGTCTCTCTGTGTGAACATGAGCATGGTACCCATGGAGGCCAGAAGAGGCATCAGATTTCCTGGAGGTGGTTGGGAGCCACCATGTGGGTGCTGGGCACTGAACTTGGGCCCTTTGCAAGAACAGAACACACTTAATCACCTATCCACCTCTCCAGCCTGGTCTTATTTTATTTTTTATATCAGTTTTATGTCCCCAAATAAATGAAACAGAATGCCCAGTGAATTCCCAAGCCTCGCCGTCCCCAGCAGTCTCCCTGTACTAACATCTTGCTTTAGTGTGATATTTGGGTTACGACTGAAAACCAATCAGCCATTACCATCCACGGCAGTGTCTGTCAGGGTCACTCATGTGCATGCCCCAGGATGTGACAAATGTGAAATGTCCTGTATCTCCTACTCTAGTGCCACTCAGTAGTTCACCGTGCTGGACACCCTAGACTGCCCCTGAGCATCCCCCTCCCCACCTTGGAAACCACTGATTTTTTTTTTTTTAAAAAAAAAACAATCGTTTTTCTTTTAAAATACTTTTCTTTTTTTGAAAATTTTATGTATGTACACAATGTATTTCAATCATCCACCTCCTCCCCTCTCCCAACTCCCCTCAGTCTGTCTCCCCCTACCCCATCTTCCTCCCAACTTCTCTTTTAGAATTCTTGTACTCAGTAAGTGCATTAAGCCCCCTGACAGGGGCTAGGGAGACTCATGGCATGGGCTCCAAGGGGCCCCTTCCTCCTGAAATCAAACGGCTGCTTCTTAGAGTCTATGACAGTGGCAGATGAGGAATTCCCGCAAGGGGAGGCAGCATGGATTGCAGGAGAGGGAAGGTGAGGTGGGCCGGGGTTTGCGCAGTATGCCAGGACCTGTATCGCCCCCTGCAGCCCTGTGACAGCAATATCTTCACTGTGCTGGCTGAGCTTCGAAAGTGTGGGCTGACAGACAGCGAGACGTGTCTGAAGAGTGTGACGCTGAGCCTGGGTGGGGGGCAGACGGTGAGTATCATGGTGGGAGCTGAGGGGAGCTCCGGCAGAGGCAGGTCCTGAGGCCGGGTGGGAGGGACATGTTCACATGGGCCGTCGCCTGCATACACATTCCCATCAGAGAGTGCATGCACTATTTGTGGGTCTTTCTGGGGACGACCCTCGAGTGGAACACTGCGACTGTTTGGCTCTGGTGCTTTTGCGATTGTACCAGTTGGCTCCAAGCGAAGAGGACTCAAGTATCTATCCAATACAACCCCATTGAAGTTACTTTTGTACATTAATTTCTGTTTTTATATTACTTAGACTATAATTCTTTTCAAAGTTTAGAAAATCAGGGAAAGTATGGGGATAGATCTTGGGACGTAAGTTAACCACATGGGGACTACAGCTTTGTAGCCCAGAACCTCCCAGACCTAGCAAGCACACACCACAGCCTGTGTGAGCTGCCAGGGGACAGTTGGGAGACACTTCCTTGGTTCCATACTGACCCCAGTTGACTCCGGCATTGCTTCTAGGTGGTCATGGTAAAAGCCACTGGAGAGGTCTTTGTGAACCAGATTTATACCCAGCTGCCGGTGTCTACAGGTGAGGGCTGCTTATGATTCTAAACTGTGTATCTCCATCCCACGGGACATCCCCACCCTGAAACTCCTATCTCCTCCCCACAGCCAATGTTACCCTCTTCCGGCCTTCAACCTTCTTCATCATTGTCCAGACCCACGTGGGTCTGCAGCTTGAGATCCAGCTGGTGCCCCTCATGCAGGTGTTTGTGCGGCTGGCACCTGAGCTCAGGGGTCTAACCTGTGGTAAGAGGCCCTGACTCTGGACCTGAGCCCATTCCATTCTAGAGCCCACCTGGGGCCTCAACCTGCTCTCCTGTTCCTAGGGCTCTGTGGGAATTTCAACAGTATCCAGGCCGACGATTTCCAGACCATCAGTGGGGTTGTGGAAGGCACAGCAGCTGCCTTCTTCAACACCTTCAAGACCCAGGCAGCTTGTCCGAACGTCAAGAATATCTTTGAGGACCCCTGCTCTCTCAGCGTGGAGAATGGTGAGCCTATGTTCTGTTGTGTGCTCAGGGGTTGGCTTACTTGCTTCCGTTTCTGAGCTGGTTACTTCCCCAAGAAGCATTTTTTCAGCCAGCTCTGACCTGGCCTGGTGTCCACTCCTCTACCCTGAGGCGGCGAGTGGGCAAACTAGTATGCAGTGTGTTGTGTTAATCACATGTTAAAGAAACCCAGAGAGGGCACCAAAATCTGTAGGTGTCATCTTGAAGAGTGGAAAAGGGGAAGCTTCCTCTTGGAAAAGGTTGACTGAAAGCGACTAAATTTGAATTCTCCATTTTTCTCCTGGTGTTTTCCATCTGTCAACAGTCTGTAGTCAGAGGCCCGTCTAGAGTATTTGATCTCCGTGTTGTTTCTCTGTAACAAAGGGTTTTGCCCCATATTTATTGAGCCGCATGGAAAATATGGCATGAGGAATGAGTGAAGGATTCTTTCCCATAGAAATGTTTAGCAGAGTTTTACAAAGGAAAAACTTATTTTACTGACGCCAGCTGACCCAGGACCTCACTCAAAACCGCACAGACCCTATCAGTCTGGGTCTGAATGTTGCTGCCAGAATTTATGAGGGATTTTTTTTTTTTTGCAATGTTGCTTTTGACCTGTTAGTTGCTTCCAGAAAACGATTACACTTTCATTATTCTGGGCCGGGGCATGGAGAAGAATATGCTTTAAGATTAAAACTATACATTTAACTTAGGTAGTAAAGCTAATTACAGAGGAAATCCAAGGTATAGTCAGGTCAGTGACACTGTTCTCTCAAACAGGCTGACCACACAGCAGAACAGCAACTTGAGCACCATGTCTTAAGTGATTGCAAGGCTTATTGCTAACTCGGCTTCAGCTCCTGCCATAGCTCGGTTTCTTGAAGGCAAGCGGTATTTTAGAAAATATATTGCTGCAGTTTATAGCATACAGCAGTACAAGTGAGACAAGTGTGGGTGCCTCAGGAAAGAGTGGTGACCAGCACCCATGCCTACCAGCTGGGAGGATATGAGGATCTCCACACAGAGTCACAGATGGCTAGGGACCTCACCCCCTGCAGTATGCACACAGGGCATTGGACATTAGGGGCCCTGCTTCAGGGTCAAAGAAAGGACACAAGACTCTAATGTAGTTGTGATGTGACACCGTCCGGACCCCAAGTAGGGCTGAGGAGGTGCGGGTCAGGATCAGCTGGTACTGCCCCCTTTGCCTCTGTATTTTGGTCCATAAGTCTTGACTATTGTCCACGGTGAAGGCCATTCCCATTCCTAGGAGGTGAGGGCTCTGGGGACATAGGAAAGAAGAGAAACAATGACTATAGCTTTCCAATGCCTCATGTGTGTCGCAGTAATGCCCGTGATGTCACCTGAAGTATGACTCAGCACCCATGATGTCTGTCTGCACAGAGATGCAAGATGTCACGAGATGGGGGAAGCCAGGGCTGGCATGAGTAAGTAGCTGATGGGTTCTCTTCCATCCACAGAGAACTATGCTCAGCACTGGTGTTCTCAGCTGACTGATGCCAGCGGCCCATTTTCCAAGTGCCACACCACCGTGAACCCCAGCACCTACTACTCGGTAATGCCTGTCTTCCGCTAGCTAGGACTCCGACACCGCCTTGTGTGTCCCCTTCTGGGAGGATCAGAGGACTCTGGAGAGAGGCAATTGAGAGGCAGCAGGTGGCAGGAATATTCTCCCAGTCTGTCTCTCGGAATCCATTCCTGACATCCATGTTCCTTCACGTGTCCAATCATCATTGTTCACTGAGTTTAGATCAAGCCTCCAGTCTACACTAGAAACAGGGCTAAACACGAAGCTTTTGAGAAATGCGAGTAACAGAACAGTAAGGAAGACAGAGTGTTCCGGGGCAGGACCTGGTGGGCCACAGAGATAAAGGGCCAGGCTCTTCCCAGAATCCATGTCCTAGAGAGAAGGTTGGCTACATGGGAGCTACCAACACTAAACAAACTAGAGGGGCATGGGGGATGGGCAGTGTCCCCAGGAAGGGAAGGAAGGTGGGAATATGTTGAGTTGTGTGTGTGTGGGGGGTGGATCCCAGTCGGATGCCAGGCTCCTGGATGTGAGGCTGGCTCCCTGATGCTCTGATGTCCCCACCCCCAGAACTGCATGTTTGACACGTGCAACTGTGAGAAGAGCGAGGACTGCATGTGTGCTGCCCTGTCCTCCTATGTGCATGCCTGTGCCGCCAAAGGGGTGCTGCTCAGTGGCTGGAGAGACCGCGTCTGCAGTGAGTGTTCTGTGGGAAAGCTGGGCTCGGGTTCTCTACAGGACAGGGCCCCACCTATGGCCTAGCAGCTGATTGGATGCTCTAAGGGTCCTATCACTACACCGGTCTCTGAAACTTGGAGACCCAATCTATTGTGACTAAGAGCCCTAATCAGGAGCTTGTCGGGGGAGCTGGGAAGGCACAAACTGTTAGACCCTCTGTCATTGTTTGCTGGGCTATGTGTCCACCAGTGTCCTAAGTGTCCCCCTCCTTCTGCTCCCACACAGCAAAGCCTACAACTACCTGCCCCAAGTCGATGACCTACCAATACCACATCAGCACCTGCCAGCCCACCTGTCGAGCTCTGAATGAGGAAGATGTCACCTGCCGTGTCAACTTCAGCCCTGTAGATGGCTGTGCCTGCCCTGCAGGCACCTTCCTGGATGATTCAGGCAAATGTGTGCAGGCCAGCAGCTGTCCCTGCTACCATAGGGGATCCACAGTTCCCAACGGCGAGTCTGTGCATGAGAGTGGGACCGTTTGGTAAGATCCTTAGGCCCGGCAGACTGTATTCTCAGGGGGCCCCTGGTCACCCTGCTCCCGTGCATGTGTGGCCGTGCAGACAAGGAGGATGTGGCAGGGATTCCGGGGGGTCCAGAGTGGATGATGTTCTAACAGCCCTCTCCTCGCAGCACCTGCACCCAAGGGACACTGACCTGCATCGGAGGTCCTGCCCCGACTCCAGGTGAGCATATGAGGGAGCCTGTCAACTCTGGGAGAATACATCCAAAGATGTGTCAGGGCTGATACTCTTCCCAAGGGAACAGAGCTGGGGTTAATGATCAGCTCACTGTGTCTGGTACAGTCTGTGCCTTGGGCTCAGGAGCAGGAGAGACGAGGGTATGGACACTGTGCACACATAGTCATGAAAACACTCAGTGTACTCCCAACACACACACACACACACACACACACACCCTAATACAGTGATGTGCACACTGCCCCCACCACAGGGCAGCCACAGGCTCAGCTGTCTGGACACAAAAGGCTGAGACATTACACACTGGAGTCCCTCAGAGAAAGCTTGGCAGGGCCGGATGGCATCACCTCACTGGTCCCCTTTCTTCTCCAGTGTGTGTTGCACCCATGATCTATTCTGACTGCCGCAATGCCACGTCTGGAGACACTGGAGCTGGATGTCAGAAGAGCTGTCACACCCTGGACATGACCTATGTAAGTGAGCTGGTTGCTCCCTAATAACCTGCTCTAGGACCTCCTGGATGACCCCCTTACTTCTTTGACCTCTCCCGTTATGGTATCTTTGGACACCTTCAGAGCGAGCTGAGGGCCTTTGGGGCAGCTGGCTAGACTGCATTCCCAGAGCAACCCTGGATACTCTTCTGCTGAGCTTTCTGCTCCCATGACACCTGCAGTCCTGCAGGCAAAGAGGACATCTCAGCCCCAAACATCCACCCATATCCAATCCCACTCTCCCTCTCCATGTGACCTACAGTACAGCTCTGAGTGCGTGCCTGGCTGCGTATGCCCAGACGGGTTGGTGGCAGATGGTAATGGAGGCTGTGTTGTTGCTGAGGACTGTCCTTGTGTGCACAACGAGGCCACTTATAGACCTGGGGAGACCATCCAAGTGGGCTGCAACAACTGGTATGTGAGGGGCACAGCAGGAGGGGTGGGTATCCAGGCTGTCCTGGCACAGAGGTCCTTATTAGGAACGGAATAAGCCCCAGCATGGCCTCTGGTGGACATACACAGCACAGGCTCTCAAGGCGCCTGGGCTCTGCTTTGGTTTCCCATAAGGGGTCCCCACAGAGCCTCTGGGAAGGTTCCCATTCCCTGGGAGTGCTCAGCTGACCTCCATCTTCTATGTAGCACCTGTGAGAACAGGATGTGGCGGTGCACAGACAAGCCCTGCCTGGCCACCTGTGCTGTGTACGGGGATGGCCACTACATCACTTTCGATGGGCAACGATACAGCTTCAGTGGGAACTGCGAGTACACGCTGCTGCAGGTATGCCTGACGGACCACCTCACCTGTGGCCATCCACAACCCCAGATTTTCACCACCCTTCCCTGTCCCCTAACGGCCTTCTGTTCCTCTAGGACCACTGTGATGGGAACGGCAGCTTCCAGGATGCCTTTCGTGTTGTCACCGAGAACATCCCCTGTGGTACCACAGGAACCACCTGCTCCAAGGACATCAAGATCTTCCTAGGGGTGAGTGGGATGGAGGCAGCAGAGCACCCTGGGGCTCCACAGTGGGGGCAGAGATACACCTGAGGGGGTGTGGCCCTGGCTAGCCCCTGAGGACCTCTTGTCACACAGAACTATGAGCTGAAGCTGACCGATGGCAAGGTGGAGGTGGTCCAGAAGGGCATCGGGCAGGAGCCCCCCTACTATGTCCACCAGATGGGCATCTACCTGGTGGTGGAAACCGACGCTGGCCTGGTGCTTCAGTGGGACAGGAAGACCAGCATCTTTCTCAGACTCAGCCCTGAGTTCAAGGTGAGGCTGAGCCAGGGAAGCCCTCTCAGGGGCTGGGGCACTCTTGGGGCTGGAGGCATGAATGGAAAGAGACAGAAGCACACAGAGAGATAGAGAGAGAAAGATGGAGACACAGAGAGACACACACACACGGAGATAGAGATGGACAGAAAGAGTGAGAGAGATCAAGCGACATGCACAGAGAGACAGAGAAGGGAGGCTGGGATGTGGCTCAGTGGGTAAAGTGCTTGTTGATATGCCTGATGGCTCAGGCTTGAGGTTCAGTCCCCAGAACCCACATGGTAGAAGAGCTGACTCCCACGAGCTGTCCTCTGACCTCCACAAGAGCTCTGTGGCAATGCATCCCTCACATGCACACATACAATAAAATTAACAATACAATTGGAGGGGGGGGATGGATGGGAAGGACCTTTAGGAGAGCAGTGAGGAGCCCTTTCTCTGTGTATCTTGCAGCTTTTGTAACATGTGATCACAAACTGGGTGGCCAGTTCTCTTTTGTGTCTGGACCCTAGGAACCCAAGGGATGCCAACAGGGCTGCCGTGACTCTGGAGGTTCAGGAGGGCCTTCCTCGCCTCTGTAGCCTCTGGGGCTCCAGGTGTCCTTGGGTTGTGGCTTCATTATCCTAGTCTCTGTCTGTTGGTGCGTGGGTGATTGTGTAGCTGCCTATAGTTTTCTTTTTAACAAGGACACTAGACAAGAAACCCAGGACTCCTCCTGCCTTAGTGAGACCTCATCTCACTTGGCCACATTTTCAAAGATTCTGTTCCTAAGAAGGCTCCCTTCACAGCCCAGGGTTAGAAAGGGACACACATGGGGCCACTGTCTAGCTCGCTGCAGTGTTTTAGACTGCTGTCTAAGACAGACTCTAAGCTGAATGGCAGAGCCCCACGCTCACCCTACAAAGTGACCAAGAGCTGACACCAAGGTTGGGGTGGAAGAAAGAAGGGTGAAGCAGTCTAATAGGAATAATGGAAAGTGAGATTTCCTGGGCTGCCAAGCTGGGGGACTCACAGGCCTCCTGGGACATCATCGGCAGGGGTTGTGTCCTGGGGACAGACAAAGATGGGCATAAGTGCCAAACACCATCACTAAACACCAAAGGTCTTCTAAACTCACACTTGCTGCTCTTCCTGGGCTCATCCTTCAGGAAGTTGAGTGGTAATAGAGCAGAGTGTATATCAGGCTCCAGGAAAGGGCTCTGGCCCATATCTCTAATCTCTGTGCTTCTATAGGGCAAGGTCTGTGGCCTGTGTGGGAATTTTGACGACAATGCCATCAACGACTTCACCACGCGCAGCCAGTCTGTGGTTGGTGACATGCTGGAGTTTGGAAACAGCTGGAAGTTCTCCCCATCCTGCCCAGATGCCCTGGTATCCAAGGACCCCTGCACTGCCAACCCTTATCGCAAGTCCTGGGCCCAGAAGCAATGCAGCATCATTAACAGCGCTACCTTCACCACCTGCCACGCCCATGTACGGCATGGGGCTGGGTGGTCTCTGAACTTTAGGATGGAGAAACCATCAACCAAGGGTGTGGGTGTCGGTCGGGAACCCACGTGTGTACAGGAGAATGGGGCATGGTTTGGGGGGTGTTAACTCTGAACACGGACTGAGGAAGCTTGCGGCAACTCCATATCGAGCCAGTCTATGGACACCATGACGTCCTGGCTGGACATTCATGGTCATACATTTGTCACCATGAACACTGGTAGAAACTGGTCCAAATTATTAGGTCAGCATATGCACTAAGAGCTGAGGGAGACAGGAGTCTCCAGAACCTGAAGCTTCTGTCTCTTACAGGTGGAGCCTGCCAAGTACTACGAAGCCTGTGTGAGTGACGCATGCGCCTGCGACTCAGGGGGTGACTGCGAGTGTTTCTGCACTGCTGTGGCTGCCTATGCCCAGGCCTGCCATGAGGTGGGCGTGTGTGTGTCCTGGAGGACACCGGACATCTGCCGTGAGTGGGAATCTGTCTGCGTTGCCAAAGGGTGGAACTGGGGGTGAGGTGGGTGATGATGTCCCTTGCTTCTCCTGGCTTGGTTCTGGGCAGCACACACACACACACACACACACACACACAAACACGCACTCATACACACACCTCCAGCATGGAACTGGAGGTGGGTGATAGATAGCCTGCCCTGCTCCCCTGGCTTGGTTCTGACCAGCAAACACACACACACACACACACACACACACACCTCCAGTATGGAACTGGAAGTGGGTGATAGATAGCCTGCCCTGCTCCCCTGGCTTGGTTCTGGCCAGCACACACACACACATGCATACACACACACACACACACACACACACACACATAGACACATGCACACACATGCATACCTCCAATGTGGAACTGGGGATAAGGTTGGTGATAGCCTCCTCTTCTCCCCTGGCTTGGTTCTGGCCAGCACAACACACACACACACACACACACACACACTCACACACACACACTTCCCTCCAATGTGTGTGCATGTGTGCGTGCATCTGCTTGTGTCCTGCAATCCAAGTACACAAACACTGTAGCAGCTCCGAGGGCTGAGCGAGGATGTCCTGCTGTGAGTGCTCCGGGAGGGACTATAGTTCCAGGCAGGAGAGGCCAGCTCCGTAGGTCTGCCAGGCTGCTTGGGAGGGCCAATAGTTTCCCAAGGCAAGTGAAGCAGAATGAGGGTAAGGATCTGTGGGAGGAAGGCTGACCTCAGAGAATGTTCTACAATGGAGGCATCAGTACCTCTTCTTATGCACAGTCCATGTGAAGCCCTGAGGAACCATTGTGCCTGGGGGCAGCTGCTGGAGCTGGAGAGCCCCCTTCGGTGTTTGCCTTGCTGGCACCCCTATTAGCTGGAAAGCTTTATCTGAGCCGCCTTCTCTCAGGGTGGGGTTCAGGTTTACCCCAGGAAATCTCCCTGCTTTCCAGCGCTCTTCTGTGACTACTACAACCCAGAGGGTCAGTGTGAGTGGCACTACCAGCCGTGTGGGGCCCCCTGCATGCGCACCTGCCAGAACCCTAGTGGAGACTGCCTACAAGATCTTCGTGGCCTAGAAGGTAGGTGGAAGGCTGAACTGGGAGGGGCAGCGTTTGTTGGGTTCCTGGGATCTGGACTGGGATCTATCCTGGGATCCAAGGCCTGGGGTCTTCTGATGGGACCCTTGGTTGTGAGGAATTCTTCCTGATCTCACGAGGATCCTTTAGGGTTTCAAACTCAAACAGTAGTGCGGAGGAAGCTGGGCACTGAGGACAGACCTGGGCCCTGGTATCAGAGGGCTCGGGGGGGGGGGGGAGACTGTTTAAGACACAGGTCTCTTGGTCCACAGGCTGCTACCCCAAGTGCCCACCAACAGCCCCCATCTTTGATGAGGGCACCATGCAGTGTGTATCCAACTGTACAGACAACCCCCACTCACGTCTACCACCCTGCCGCATCAATGGGAAGTCGTACCGAGCAGGTGCGACAGTACCTTCAGACAAGAACTGCCATTCCTGGTAAGTCCTTCAGTTAGAGTGGCCTAGAACCTGGAACGCCACAGGGAGCCCAAGCCAAACTTACAGCATCAGCTAGAAGCACCCTCCGCCTGAGGTTGCGCTGAGGGGAAAGTGACACCACCAGCCCTGTGGGACCCCATGCCTTCAGAGATTCAGCTAGGAGGGAGAACACTCTTGTCTTAGGCTCAGCTGAGAGGACGGACATCCTAGACTTGCGGCTGAGCTGGGAGGGAGCATACCTATGGCCTAAGGCTCATACTAAAGGGAGGACATCCATGACCTAAAATCCAGCTGTGTGTGAAAGTGATGGTGTTCTCAGCCAAGTGTCCTCCCAGGGACGAAGGGACAATGTCTGTGGAAGTCCACCTTGTCTCCATTGGTTATGAATGGGGGCGATATTTGAGAGAGGGTGACCTTAGTGGAGCAGATCCTGAAAGGCTGAAGGTTAGGACCTGGTTGGACTGTAGCCTCCAGCTTGGGCGGTAACTGGCTGCTTCATCACCGACACTAAGCCGCCTGGGTGTAGGCAGGTTCAGTTCCCATGCATTCAGTCCCACTTCTTTCTGCCTTTAACAGCATTTGCACAAAGAACGGTGTGAGCTGTAGCTACAATGTTTCAGGTGAGTACCTGCAGCCTTCTCTGAGCTGGAGACCGGCGGGAGGGGAGGGGGCGGGAGAGTCATCGCCAGTGTCTTGGCACTCTAACAGGCTAAACATCTATTTCCCACAGCCTGTGTCTGTACCTACAGTGGGCAGGACTTCCATCACGGGGAAGTCATCTACGACACGACAGATGGCATGGGAGGCTGTATCTCTGCACACTGCGGGGCTAACGGCACCATCGAAAGGATTACCGACACCTGCAGCCCCACCACTCCCGTGCCCCCGACCACGTTCTCCTTCTCCACACCAGTTGGTAAGGCAGAAATGACCCGTGGCAGAAAATGCTAGGCTTCCTGGGGGTTGTCTCTCTTTCTGTTGACTGGTACTGCTTCTCTTGCTGAATATTAGGTAGTGGCTAGCTCGTGGTCTTGGTGGCAGGCCACAAAACTCAAGGAGGGGCCCAAGAGTTGAACACCAGGAACATAGGTAGCCTGCTTTTATCCCACGGCAGGGAGGGATCAGTCTCCTTGGCCCGTTCTGGCAGGCCCGGTGCCCATGGTACCACTTTCTGTAGCTACTGGACCCGATCCCAAGGGAGTGAGGCCCTTAGCTTACAGGTTCTAACCACTCGTGGTCCCAGGCCAGTACTTTGGATGAACATGAGATTTTTCCCAGAATTTATAGCTGCCTGCTTGCCTTATACTGTGTGGATCGATAGATATCCCTCAGGTCTCACCCCCCTCCCCGCAGCTTAGTTTTGAAGGGTATAAATGTGTAGATTCTGCTCGGGGCATGGCCAAGACAGAAGATTCCATTTAGATGAGATTAATTTGTTTGTAGACCAAATATACTGTACTTCTGTCCACCCAGAGGTAGGTTCTGAGACAGGCTGAGGGATGTGGCTGTGGTGTTCAGTTTTCAAAGTTAGTGTAACCATGGCGATGAGACCCGAGTGAGGATGTGACCAGGGACTAGGTAGTCAGCCCCAACACCCTAATGCTGACTCCTGTTACCTTTGTCCACAGTCATGACCTCAGTGCCACCCTCCAGCACACATCCCAGCCCTACCCTGAGTGTCGTGTACACAGGGTCCCCAAGCAGGGCGGCACCAACAACCAGCAGCATGCTGTCTGTCGAGACCCCTGCCACAGCCTCTACCTTGACCGCATCTACGACAGCCTCCACCTTAACCACGCCAGGCTGCGAGGAGGAGTGCTCCTGGTCTCCCTGGATGGATGCCAGCCGTCCTGGACGTGGCATTGACGGTGGTGACTTTGACACTCTGGAGAACCTCCGTGCCCATGGCTACCAGATCTGCCAAGTGCCCAGGGAAGTGGACTGCCGTGCTGAGGCTACCCCCGAGGTGCCGCTTCACGCCCTAGGGCAGCGTGTGGAGTGCAATACAACTGCAGGGCTGACCTGTCACAACAAGGATCAGGTGTCGGGGCTCTGTGACAACTACCAGATCAGAATTCTGTGCTGCACCCCCATCAGCTGTCCAGCCTCTGGGGGTCCTACCCAGACGACCCATTTGATAACCTCCAGGACAACGACAATGGGGACCACAACCTCCTCAGCCCCTGTCACCTCCCCTGACCATACAGAGAGCACGGTGATGTCAGGTGCCTCTACCCATGCACCAGGTCCTTTCCCCTCTTCCTCACATCCTTCTCCATCAGCTCCAAGGCCCTCCACCCCTGGCCCAGTTAGTTCTACCACAATTAAGACAACTATGTTCACTACTAGCCCAACGCCAGAACCAACTTCAGCCACATCATCTGTGTCCGTATCAACTTCAGGGTCCACCAGGGCTTCTCTGGAGACTACCCATGAATGCAAACAGGAGCACTGCAGTTGGACTGATTGGATAGACGGCAGCTACCCTGGGCCGGGCAGAAACAGTGGAGATTTTGACAGCTTCCTAAACCTGAGAGCCAGAGGCTACAAGTTCTGTGAGAATCCGCAAAATGTTGAGTGCAGGGCTCAGTTCTTTCCCAACACACCCCTGGAGGAGCTGGGCCAGGATGTAACCTGCAACCGAGAGGAAGGCTTGATCTGTCTGAACAAGAACCAGCTGCCACCCATTTGTTATAACTACGAGATCCGGATACAGTGTTGCACAGTGGTGGACGTGTGCTCCACCGTTTCGGCTGCCACTCATCCTACCCCACATGAAGAAAGCACGAAAACCAAGACAAAAGGAACCACAAGCTTGCATTCCTCCTCCACCACCGACACCAGTACTCACACAGCAATGACACACACAGAGACCTTGGCCACAGAGAGTCCACACATGGTCACCCAGCCAGTGACCACCCACTGCCAGCCCCAGTGCAACTGGACCAAGTGGTTTGACACTGACTTCCCAGTGCTCGGGCCACATGGAGGGGACCTGGAAACCTACAGCAACATCCTGAGGAAGGGAGAGAGCATCTGTCACCGGCCAGAGGAGATCACACAGCTGGAATGCAGGGCTGAGAATCACCCTGAGGTGCGGTTGGAGGATCTGGGTCAGGTGGTGCAGTGCGACCCCACTGTGGGCCTGGTGTGCAGGAACCGGGACCAGCAGGACATCTCCGGGATGTGCCTCAACTATGAGGTGCGAGTCCTGTGCTGTCGTGTGCCTGAAGGCTGCCCTGAGACCACACGTGCCACTCCTGCCAGCTCTCCAGGTGAGACTGTCACCAGTTCAGTGCCTGGCACCACTTCTGTTCATAGAGCAATCAGCACGTCCATGCCTCAAACCAGGACAACCATTGTGCAGACAGCCAGCACCACCTCCACACCCCAAACCAGCTCACCCTTCATAGAACAATCCAGCACCACCTCTGGGCAGACCATTTCCACCAGAGACACCAGAACTGCCTCTGGGCAGACAACCAGTACCACCTCCACACCCAAAACCAGCCCACCCTTCATAGAACAATCCAGCACCACCTCTGGGCAGACCATTTCCACCAGAGACACCAGAACCGCCTCTGTGCAGACAGCCAGCACCACCTCCATACCCCAAACAAGCTCACCCTCTATAGCAACAGTGAGCTCTACCCTCAAAACTCAGACCAGTTCAACCTCTACAGAAATAACCAGTACCACCTCTGGGCAGCCAGCCAGAACCACCTCCACATCTCAAACCAGTGCAGTCTCTGGGCAAACAGTCAGCACAGTGTCCACTAGGGACACCAGCACCATCTCTGAGCAGACAGCCAGGACCACATCCACACCCCAAAACAGCTCACCCTTCATAGAAAATTCTAGCACTACCGCTGGGCAGACGGCCAGTACTATTTCTACCAGAGAGACCAGAACCGCCTCTGGGCAGACAGCCAGCACCACCTCCATACCTAAACCCAAACCAAGTTCTGAGCCTTCGGCCAGTACTACCTTCAAACCCCAAACAAGCTCAACACTTATAGGACATTCCAGAACAACCTCGGGACAGCCAGCCAGTACCATGTCCACCAAGGACACCAGCGCCACCTCAGAGCAGACAGTAAGTACCACCTCCACACCCCAAACAAGCTCACCATTTGTAGAAAAATCCAGCACTACCGCTGGGCAGATGGCCAGTACTATTTTCACCAGGGACACCAGGACCACCTCTGAGCAGACAGCCAGCACCACCTCCATACCTGGATCAAGTTCAACATCTAAAGGAAAAGTCAGCACCACCACCAAACCCCTAACCAGCTCAATTTCTGAGCACACAGCCAACACCATGTCTATCAAGGTCACCAGCGCCACCTCTGAGCAGACAGCAAGTACCACCGACACACCCCAAACAAGCTTACTCTCTACAGCAGCAGTGAGCTCTACCCTCAAAACTCAGACCAGTTCAACCTCTACAGAAAATACCAGTACCACCTCTGGGCAGCCATCCAGCACCGTGTCCATCAGAGACACCAGAACCGCCTCTGGGCAGACAGCCAGCACCACCTCCATACCTAAACCCAAACCAAGTTCTGAGCCTTCGGCCAGTACTACCTTCAAACCCCAAACAAGCTCAACACTTATAGGACATTCCAGAACAACCTCGGGACAGCCAGCCAGTACCATGTCTACCAAGGACACCAGCGCCACCTCAGAGCAGACAGTAAGTACCACCGACACACCCCAAACAAGCTCACCCTCTACAGCAGCAGTGAGCTCTATCCTCAAAACTCAGACCAGTTCAACCTCTACAAAAATAACGAGTACCACCTCTGGGCAGCCAGCCAGAACCACCTCCACATCTCGAACCAGTGCAGTCTCTGGGCAAACAGTCAGCACAGTGTCCACCAGGGACACCAGCACCATCTCTGAGCAGACAGCCAGGACCACCTCCACACCCCAAACAAGCACATCCTTCATAGAAAAATCCAGCACCACCTCTGGGCAGACCATTTTCACCAGAGAGACCAGAACCACCTCTGAGCAGACAGCCAGCACCACCTCCACACCCCAAACAAGCACATCCTTCAGAGAAAATTCTAGCACTACTGCTGGGCAGACGGCCAGTACTATTTTCACCAGGGACACCAGGACCACCTCTGTGCAGACAGCCAGCACCACCTCCATACCTGGATCAAGTTCAACATCTAAAGGAAAAGTCAGCACCACCACCAAACCCCAAACCAGCTCAATTTCTGAGCACACAGCCAACACCATGTCTACCAAGGGCACCAGCGCCACCTCTGAGCAGACAGCAAGTACCACCGACACACCCCAAACAAGCTTACCCTCTACAGCAGCAGTGAGCTCTACCCTCAAAACTCAGACCAGTTCAACCTCTACAGAAAATACCAGTACCACCTCTGGGCAGCCATCCAGCACCGTGTCCATCAGAGACACCACAACCACCTCTGGGCAGCCAGCCAGCACCGTGTCCATCAGAGACACCACAACCACCTCTGGGCAGCCAGCCAGCACTGCGTCCATCAGAGACACCACAACCACCTCTGGGCAGCCAGTCAGCACCGTGTCTACCAGGGACACCACAACCACTTCTGAGCATACAGCCAGCATGACATATATGGGAAGAACCAGCACCACTTCTGTGCCTGCAACCAGAGCCACCTCGGCTCCTCTGAGCACCACAGGCGCTGGGCCTCATCCTGGGATGACTTCCTCCCCACTGACCACCCATTGCCAGCCCCAGTGCAACTGGACCAAGTGGTTTGACACTGACTTCCCGGTGCCTGGGCCACATGGAGGGGACCTGGAAACCTACAGCAACATCCTGAGGAAGGGAGAGAGCATCTGTCACCGGCCAGAGGAGATCACACAGCTGGAATGCAGGGCTGAGAATCACCCTGAGGTGCGGTTGGAGGATCTGGGTCAGGTGGTGCAGTGCGACCCCACTGTGGGCCTGGTGTGCAGGAACCAGGACCAGCAGGACATCTCCGGGATGTGTCTCAACTATGAGGTGCGAGTCCTGTGCTGCCGCGTGCCTGAAGGCTGCCCTGATACCTATTGGACTCCCTCTGTGACCACACCCCTCAAGCCCTCATTTCCATTTGTGTCACCCTCATCTGTGTCCCCATTATCATCATCGAGCCCTGCAGTACATTTTACCACTCCTTGTGTGTGCAACGTGTCAGGCCAACTATATCCTATCGGTAAGTGGGGTGTCTTTACGCAGCTTCCTAAGGTACTCTGTTCCTTGATTTTCTTCCGTGAAAGTTCTTGGATTGGGCAGATCGTGCCACAATCGCCTTCAAACATTTCTTGTCTTTTTCTTTTTTCATTGAGTGGAAGCCTTTAGTTTGGCAACCACTCTTTGGGGACCAGACTTTTCTCCAGTGCCTCAGCAAACACTTCATTTATCTTGATCTTGCAGGATCCATGATCTACAATAAGACAGATCTGGACGGGCATTGTTACTATGCCTATTGCAACCTGACCTGCCAGGTGGACAGAGGGGTTAGTAAGGACTGCCCTTCCACCGTGCCGACCCCTGCAACAGCTCTGTCCACCTCCACATCTCCCATCGTCCCTGTCACCGAGAGGGATGGGTGCAATGTGTTCCCTCCCAGAATGGTAAGTCTATCTGCTATCCTTCCTGGAGACTCAGGGCCACTGTGAAGACCTCGATGCATTTGCAATTATACCTCAGCTTAAGTTCCCATGAAGATCAGCAACCCCCAGCTGATACAGGATGAGTTTCGGGCTGAGTCTTTTTACGGCTTTGTGTGTCTGGTTCTACCAGTGCGGTATTGATAGTTGGGTAGTTGGGTGTTGGGCCTGAAGGTTAAAACTCCCCCCAATGAGAGTAAAGGTATCAGAGGTGATGGTACACCCCATGGATGTAGTGACACATGGAAAGGGGTGAACCTCAGGGGTGGGGCGCTTCCACATTGTGGCCCCTCGTAGCCAGTTCCATACTTTGGCAGGGAAGAGGCTAAGACGGGGGCTGGAATGGGGCTATAGAACCTTGAGGTGATTCCCTGGCCCAGGGCTCAGACCCACAGCTGGCTTTGTTTCTGCAGAAAGGGGAGAACTGGCCCATGCCTAATTGCTCCCAAGCCACCTGTGAGGGCAACAATGTCGTCTCCCTAAGTCCACGCCAGTGCCCAGAGATGAAGGCACCATCTTGTGCCAACGGCTACCCACCCCTGAAGGTGGATGACCAGGACGGCTGCTGCCAGCACTACCAGTGCCAGTGTGAGTGGGGACATGGTTCAAAAGGAGGAGAATGAGGACTCCAGGAAAGACTTTCCGTTATCAAGTCGGGGATGGGGATGCCAAGTGGAGAGAACTGAGTCCCAGAGCCTAGAGCCCAGTGGGAGAAGAGGAGGGTTCTCTGTGTCTCAGAATCCTAGCAGCGTATGAAGGACCGGCCAGGCAGTATCTGAAGGGACCATCCATGTGTCATGAGGGTACAAAGGTCTCAAGAGTTCCTGATTAGGAGGCTGTGGGGGAGAGGCTGGAGCAGTTGGATGAGAGCCAGCTATAAGGCAAGCTTCCTGGCGCCCACAGGTGTTTGCAGCGGCTGGGGTGATCCCCACTACATCACATTTGATGGCACCTACTACAGTTTTCTGGATAACTGCACATACGTGTTGGTGCAGCAGATTGTGCCTGTGTTTGGATCCTTCCGTGTGCTCATTGACAACTACTTCTGTGACCTGGGCGACAGTGTTTCCTGCCCGCAGTCCATCATCCTGGAGTACCACCAGGACCGTGTGGTGCTGACCCGCAGGCCAGTTGACGGGATCATGACCAACCAGGTGGGCATGCCTGTGTGTGTGTGTGTGTGTGTGTGTGTGTGTGTGTGTGAGTGCGCATGTGTGTGTGTGTACGGGGTTGTGGCAGGCTTGGTCTGGATCGGGGATCTATCTAAACATCCTTCTGCTGTCTGTATCCAGATCATCTTCAACAACAAGGTAGTGAGTCCAGGCTTCCAGCAGAATGGCATTGTCGTCTCCCGTGTGGGTGTTAAGATGTACGTTACCATTCAGGAGATTGGTGTCCAGGTCATGTTCTCAGGCCTCATCTTCTCTGTTGAGGTGCCCTTCAACCTGTTCGCCAACAACACAGAGGGCCAGTGTGGTAAGCTCCACTCTCGATGTTGTTTGGGTATTAGGAGCAGCCTCCCCATGGGCCTAGGGGTTTCTGGCTGTGCACACATGTGGTTCACATCTACTTGTTCCATGGTGGCTTCTCTGTACACTGGGCACAGCTCTGCTGCTCAGCTGGCTGTCCCTCATCTCGCCTGCCAGGCACTTGCACCAACGACAAGAAGGACGAGTGCCGCCTGCCTGGAGGGGAAGTAACCTCTTCTTGTTCTGAGATGGCCAGCCACTGGAAGGTGCCCGACCAGCCTGCCTGCCAAGGGCCTCCTCCAACACCAGCTTCAGTGGTACCCAGTCCTTCACCGACCCCGTGTCCATCATCACCACTCTGTCAGCTCATCCTAAGCAAGTAAGATTTTAGAAAGTGTGATAGCCTTGCTGGCCCCATCTGCCAAAAGGTGTGGGGTCCTCAAAAGGCTCCTAAGAATAATGAGACCAGCCTTGTAGCCTTGTTCTAGGGTCTGGGCACTGTCTCTAGGGATCTTGCTGGAATGCGGTGGCCAGGTGGACTCGTCTCTGGAGTCCTGCGTCAGTTTCTCTCGTTGCTATGAACGCAGTCACTGCCTGCACCTGGGCGGCACACAGTGTTGCAGAATAAGGGAGGCTGAGGGGAGAGAGATTTGCAGCGACCAGTGCTCTGGCTGACACCTTTCCTGGTACACACCCAGAGGCGGGATGACAGGGTCATAGGTGCAAAGTCTCTTAGAACCTCACCTCTGAGGGGGTATCACGGATGTGGAAGCCCCACAGCGAGTGGTGACCCCAGCAGAATGGATGCACACACCGTCGCGTGTGTCTTTGCCCACAGCGTCTTCCAGTCCTGCCACCCTATCATCCCTCCCCTGCCGTTCTACGAAGGCTGCTTGTTCGACGCCTGCCACGGCGTGAACTGGGAGGTGGTGTGCTCAAGCCTGGAGCTCTACGCGACACTCTGTGCTGCCAAAGGCCAGTGCATCCCCTGGAGAAGCCACACCAACAACACCTGTTGTGAGTGTCTAGCCTGGGCCACCTTCTTGTCCTCTTTTGTGAGAACTTAGAGGTGCTAGGCAGACAGCCTGGGAAAGGATGAGGACTTGGAGCCTCAAATCTAGTCTTCCCTAGAGGGAAAAGCTCCAGGCTGTGGGTTTATTTTCAGGAAAGGGGGATTATCTGAATCGAGGAGTCTGTGGATTTAGAACCTGGGGTGCCAGCTGTCTTGGACAAGCATACAGACCTGGGGGTGGGGTGGAGGGCAGGTTGTAGATAGATACTGAAGGCTTCTGAGTGGGTATCAGTGCTCAGCAGCAGCTGGGGCTTGGAGGGTCCCAGAAGTGAGGCCTTGAAATGGCTTCTCAGGGGTGGCTCTCTCCACACAGCATTCACCTGTTCTGATAACAAAGTATACAAGCCGTGTGGCCCAACCAACCCTCACTACTGCTATAGGAACGACGACATCAGCACCAGCTTGTAAGTATCCGCAATCTGCTCCCAGGGCTGACAAACCCTGCACTTGGCTTTCCTAGGCTGGGTTCTTTCTTATTTGGGGGTGAAGGGCCTATCAATTCTGTTTCTTACAGGATCCTTCAAGAAGCTGGCTCCTTCTCAGAGGGCTGCTTCTGTCCGGATAACACAACACTTTTCAGCACTAATGATTCAGTCTGCGTGCCTTCCTGCCAATGTATGTCCCCACAGGCATGGTGGTGGGGCTTGGGAGGCAAGATGTGGCTTGACCCCAGACCCCACTATAGTACTCAGCATGGGTTCTGGTTTTGCCCCATCCCTGTGGCCACCCAGAGTGACAGGACCTCTCTCTACAGGGTGTCTGGGGCCTCATGGAGAACCTGTGGAGGTAGGTATGGATGATGGTGGTTTGTGGCAGGGGCGCAGAGCCTGAGGCAGGAGGTCCTGGAAACAAGGCAGTGTGAGCTGGGGTGGGGCTTTTGCAGTGTGCCAAAGGCCAGATAAAGGCAGGGAGAGAGCTGGTGTCCGAACAGGATCTGGGAAGATCTTCTCTGGGGCTGCCCTTCCTGTGTTCTGGAGCTGCTGGGTGACCCATGAGGACTGGTCAGCCCTGTTCTTCCCCAGGCCTCCTCCTATCCTGAAGAGATGTGTTAGGATGGAGGGGAAGGGCTGCTCACCAAACAAAGCCCTTCTTCCCCCCTCTGCTCCTGGCCTCTGTGCCTGGCCTTCAGCGTCTCAGACCTGGCGCTCCTGGAGCCCCCTCCCCCAGGCTTGTAGCACAGCCTTCTCAGCACATGTGGGGCCTGACTCTGAGGCTTGGCTGTAGCTGCCCTTGGGCCGAGCGGCTCCCTCAGAGGTCAAGTTCATGTACCATTCCTCCACAGCCGGGCCACAGCATCAGCATCGATTGCCAGGACTGTGTCTGCAAGGGGGGCACGCTGACCTGTCAAAGGAAGTCCTGTCCCCAGACCACCTGTCCAGAGCCTGGCTTTGTGCCAGTGCCCGAAGCCCTGCAGGCTGGCCAGTGTTGTTCCCAGTTCAGCTGTGGTAAGCCTTTGCTTCTGTCCCCGTACCCATAGGTAGGACAATCTCCTGAGGAGCCATAGGTGTACCAGTCAGCAGCCAGCTCTGTGTACACAGTCCCAGGAGGAAGGGAATAGAAACCTCGCTTCCCAGGGTTTACACGTTGCTTGAGTATAGGGACCCTGCTGTGTCCTGTCTGGTAACGCCCTAGCAGGTGTTCTTTAGGTGTGTGTAGTGGAGACTCCTCTGCCCCGCCTGACCAGAGCCTGTTCCTGGGGTCCTGGGGACCGTCATGACATCCTGTGGTGGGGTAGACCGTCGGAGCAGAAAAGAAGCAGGGCAAGCCCAGCCCCTGACAGCTTTCTCTACCCACAGTCTGCAACTCCAGTTACTGCCCTCCTCCCCTGCACTGCCCGGAGAATTCTAGCCTGCTGGTTGTCTACGAGGAAGGAGCTTGCTGCCCACGACAAAACTGCAGCAGTGAGTGTCCCTGACCCTTCCACCAAGCCACAGAGACCTGGAATTTCCCAGGAGGACCGGCCAGATGAAGGCGCTGATGGTGGGAGATGGGTTGTTGCTTGGGGTGGAGCCCTTGGTGGGAAGGAAGCCCGAGGTGCTCCAGCATCTAACAGCAGAACTTATCGATGTAAGTAAGAGTCAGGCTGTGTCCTCGCAAGGCCCAGGCTACAGCCAGTATGTCTTTTGGACAGGTCAGAAGGGCTGTGAAGTCAACGGGACTCTATATCAGGTAGGAACCAGTGGTGCTCAGGCCTATAGCCTGCAGGGACTGAGCTTCCCATTTGGGGCTCTCCACCAGCCCTTTGGAGCATAGCTGGGGGTCTGAGAAGCTGAGGAGCTCTTGAGCCACTCTTGTCCCTGGCACAGAGCTCCTGCCCAGACCAATGACACAAACCTCTGTGGATGTAGTTCAGAGCAGCGCAGTTAAGGTTGGCCCCAGGATCCTTGCAGCCGCCGATACCTGGTGTCTGGATCCATCAGGATTCCTATCAGTTCTCTGCTCCCTGGTGTCATACGGGGGATGCCAGCACCTCGTTTCCCCCAGCTGTCCTTTCCCCACATAAATTCCCCAAGTATGTAGTATCTTGGGTCCCCTGACATAGAGACATAGTTATAGGCTCTGCCCTGTGACAGCACCTGATTTATGGTCTCTTCGCGATGAGGTAAGGATCATTTCCTAGAGAATGGGTCAGCTTGGTGGGCAGCCAGAGCAACTGGCCAGTCAGCGTACAGGGCAGATCTCTTCTCAGCTTGAGCCCACTAATGCCCAGCCCTGACTCTTCCCAGCCCGGTGCTGTGATCTCCTCCAGTCTATGTGAAACATGCGTGTGTCAGGCGCCCAGCAATCCTCATTCAGATGTCTTTGTGGTCAACTGTAAGAATGAGTTCTGCAATACCCAATGTGCTAAGGTGAGCACTGGCCCCATCCCTGCTCTCATCACCCGGTGCCAATGGCCTGAACCTAGGCAGCATACTATTCTTCCTGCAGGGCTCCGAGTACCAGCCCGAGCCAGGACAGTGTTGTGGCCGGTGTGTGCCGAAGGCCTGCTCTTTTAAACACAGCAACAGCTCTGTCTCCTATTACCTTGTGAGTACCTGGGACTAAGATAGGTTACCTCAGAGAGGGGAATAGAGGACAGGAACAACAGACTACCGGCTCTGCGAGGCTCCACACAGGCTGGGGCAAAGTCACCATGCTCTCCAAGGAACTATGCACAGTCCCAGGCCCGGGTATAGAGAGCGTGAAACAGACAGCATTTGGACCGAGCAAACAGGGTCCTGGGGGCACTGAACCCTGAGTGGCCTTAATCCTGGGGACTCAGGGATGATGAGGTAGGATCCTGGGGACTCCAGGCTGACTAGGCAGGGTCCTGGAACCTTGGGCGGGCACTTGAGAAGCCATCTCTGGTGGATATAGGCCTGGTCTCTCCCTGGAAGATAGTAGGCAGTGGGGAGACAGAGGCTGGGCACTCACTATGCAGACTGGGCCTCCTTTCAGCCTGGTGAGTCCTGGCCAGAACCTGGGAACAACTGTGTGACTCATAAGTGTGAGAATTTCCAAGATACACTCACGGTCGTGACAATGAAGATGGAGTGCCCCAAGATCAACTGTCCACTGGTAAGTTTGGGGTTTCCCACTGCAGCCAAGGCGGCAGCTGACCTGGGATGAGGGGAAGCTGGTGCTGCATGGCCGTGAGGCTTATCCCCTCCAGTAGAGGGGGTTCCCGCTCTTGTTTGCATTTGACCTCATGTCTCGTTCCTCCATTTCTGGATGCCTCATTGCTCCTGCCATTCACAATGGCCCATTGTTGGCACAGGGCCAGGCTCAGCTGAGAGAAGATGGTTGCTGCTTTGACTGTCCCAACACCCAGCAGAGTAAGTGGGGGATCTGACAAGGAAGGAGTTGATCCCAGCCTGGGGCACCCAGGAAATGACTGAGCAGACACTGACCCTCTCTCTGCCTTACTTCTTGTCCTCCCAGAATGCGCGGTACACCAAAGACAGCAGATCATCCGTCAGCAAAACTGCAGCTCCGAGGGGCCAGTGAGCCTCTCCTACTGCCTGGGCAACTGCGGGGACAGCACCTCCATGTACGAACCCCAGGGAGCCTCAGGGGGCAGGTTCAGAGAAGCAATTGGTGGTGGGGTGGAGTGGGGTGGGGTGTCTGGTGCATCGAGGTCCAGAAGCAGGGCAGGGAGGGACAGAACCAGGAGAGGGAGAAAAAGGGCGCTGGAGGAGACTGTTATGATAACTTGAGCATCCCAAGGTGGCGTCAGCAGGGCTTGGGCTATACTGACTACTTTTGAAGCAGGATTTCTGTTTGCTGAAATATCTCAGACCTAAGAAAGCCCCAGTCCCCACATCAATGACCTGCTGTGCATCTGGCTGCAGATATAGGACACCTGGTGGCCAAGGGCAGCTGTGGCAGAAACTTTTGCCCCTCAGGGAACTGGCAAATGAGAGTGATAGGGTTTTGAACACAGGGTGACAAAGACCTCGGGAGCTCGGCACTGTGCCCGCTGTTTGCATGGCAGAGCCTGTGGAAGGTGCACGCAGCGGCCGGCAGGGCTGGGCACTGAACAGATCTACCCACAGGTACTCCCTGGAGGCCAACACCGTGGAGCACAAGTGTGAGTGCTGCCAGGAGCTGCAGATCTCGCAGAGGAATGTGACTCTGCACTGTGGTGATGGCTCCAGCCGCACCTTCAGCTACACCCAGGTCGAGAAGTGCGGCTGCCTGGGCCAGCGGTGCCATGCTCCAGGTGACACGAGCTACCCAGAATCCTCAGAATCAGAGTTCAAGTCCCAGGAAAGTAAAGGACACGGTCAGCAGTAAGCACTCAGGGCCAGCAAGAAGGTGCTTGGGCTTTCCCAGAGCTGAGCGGCACTGTTGTCCCAACACGCCACCCAAAGTCCTCCCGAGGCCAGAGGGACACTTGCTGCTTGTTCAAGTGGCTTGAATTCCAGACCTTCTGCCTGCCCACCACTTCCTCTTCAGGAGGGACATGGACCCCAGCTGTCCTTGGGGTGGGAGCAGTCCTATCCACCGATTAAGAGCATAAGGGGCACCGGGCTCCTTTGGAAAGAACTTCAGTGTCACCAAAGGGTCCCATGAAGGAGCCACTTGCATGCGGGTGTCACCTGCTTGGCCTCACTCTCACCTCAGCCCTGTACCTGTGCCCCCTTTCAGGAAATGGCCAATTTGTTTTATAAATACAGTCAGAGCATTTGCGAATTATCTCTGTGTGTGTATTATTTTTAAAACATGTCCATAGATATAGGACAGGCCTGGACTTCAGGGGGGTCTTATTCTTCAGGCTGTTCACTAGGGGCCTGCCAGCCTGGGGCGAGGGCCACTGGGGAGTTCTCAGCCTCTACTTGCTGGGAGGATATGTCCTAACGGTGACAATAGCTGCACAGGGGCTAACTGGAGCCTGGATGAAGCTCAGAGTCAGAAGCATCCTGGGAGAGGACAATGAGGGAGAGAATGAATGAGTGAGTGAATGAGTGAATGAACTAATGGCTGAGGAGATTAGTGAATGAGTGACTGATAGAATTAGTGAGTGAGGAAGTGCTTGGATGACGGAGGCAGTGGATGAGTGCACAGTGATTGAGTGGATAGCGAAGTGACCTAGGGAGGATAAATGATTGAATACGCAAGTAAATGGATGAGCAGACTCATGAGCGAGCCAATGAATAAATGAATTAACAAGTGGACTAATGTGTGAGTGGACGAAGGCATGGGTGGCCAAGTGGGTGAGTGGATGAGTGGGCGAAGGCACGAGTGGACAAGTGGGTGAACAGATGATTGGGTGAATGAGGATGTACATGAATGTAGGAATGAATGAAAGGGACCTGGTGGTGACCAGGCTGAGTCAAGCAAGTCTAGATACCCTACTGTCCAGAGAGAGAGAGAGAGGGGCCTGAAGTGAGGCCTGAGTAGCCCATGGGCAGCCCAGGATCAAGCACATTCCACACTCCAGTGCTCAGGAGCTCCAGACCTCATCAAGAGCCGGCTCATGGGGGATGCAGGGCGAGCATCTCTAGAGCAGGCACTGGGGGGGGGGGCGGTGTTATATGCCTTTTGAACCCAGACATTTGCTTGGAGGCTGAGCTATCTCTTGGCAGGGCAGGAGATAAACAGACCTTGTTGGATGCCCGGAGGGATCCTGGGGCTCAGGCAAGGGTCTTTCAGACCTGCAGTCACTGGGCACCTGTGGGGTGTGTTCAGACTGTCCAAATGTCTTTGGTGTGGCATGAGGGGAAGAACACAGTTCCCACATCCAGGTCTTTGTCTCACCCACCAAGGCAGCATTCTGGTGGCCAGCCTAGTGTACACGGGAGTCCGGACTCCTGCATCCAAACCCAGCCTCCAGGAATCCAGTGCCCATTGCTTCTATTTTATGCTGCCTCAGATACAAGAACCAGGCTCAGTCAGTCTGGTCTGGGGCCCAGGTGCCTGCAACCCTTCATGGCCTGTTGGGAAACCTGCTTTGGGAGTTCAGTTGTGTTTCTCAAAGCCGCCATAAGGTGGTGCAAGCTCAGCTCTGTGCCTTTGTAGTGTTCTGGATCTGGGCTTTTGTTCTTGGGTGGACTGTTCCCTGAGAACAGCCCAAAGTAGAACTGAAGTGCTAGAGGGGACAGGCATTTCCCGGGATCTTGGGGCTCCTGGGTCTGGAGGAGAGGGTAAGGACAGCCCTTCAGTTCTTCCCAAGCATTCCCACTGGACAGGCAAGCTTTGGGTTCAGCAGGAGAACCACAGTCCTTCCATCTGTCTGCCTGCTCTGCCAGTAAGACTTGGGCTGGTCCCTAAGGCACCTTCAGGTCCTTTCTGCCTTAGTGTAGTCTTCAAGATTAGGAAATCAGGGGTCACCAGAGATACCCAATCCCTATTGGGTCCCTAGGTCACAAAGGGTTTTGGCCTAATGGCCGGTCTCACAATATTTCCTGGCATTGGGTTTCAGGCAGACAAGTCCTGCCTGTGTGCTTTTACGAGTTCCAAACTTCTAGGTGAGTCCTATAGCCTCTCTACTTGCTTGGGCTATTTACGTTCAGTGGTGTGGGCTGCCTCAAAGCCTGATTCCTATCCACGGGCAGTGCTGACACGGCCACTCCCTGGCCGAGACCCTGTGACCCTTTGCGTGAACCCTGAGGCTCATTGGCTCTGCAGGTCTGCTTGGCCGCCTGGCTCACCCCACTGACCTCTCAGTGGCTGCCAGGCTCTAATCAGTGTCATTGCCCCTGGAGAGGATCAGGTATCTAGAGAGCCGCCTCTTCCTCTCAGAGTGGGTAGTGCGGGCGTGACTAATCCCCTAGCTCTCGGAGTAGGCCGAGGTCCTCCGTCTGCGTCACTTCTGCTTAGAACCATGGCAGGTGTGCTGGCAGGAAGCAACCGGATCGCGTGCCTCTGGGTGGGAGTGGTTTACCTTCTTTACCTGCACACCCTGCCCACCGCAGCCTAGGCCAAGTTGTGCAATGCACTGTTTCTGGAAAGAGCTGAAGAGCGGGACGGGGGCCCCCACACACCTTGGTAGTCTACACCCTGACCGCAGGGGTAGCCCCTTGACCCCACACCCTGGACTTTACACAGAACAGGGCAAGAAAACATATCTGAATGAGGCCCCATAGAACTGGGCTGCCCAGCTGCTCCAGAGGCCACGAGGTCTTGAGAAGAACTAACTTTAGGAGCTTTGTAGGAGGCACAAAGTTTAGTTCCGCCCTCCATGTTTTGGGAGCTTCCAAGTTGAGAACAGGATAGACAGAGGGCAGGGTAGGCTCCTGACCCCTCATCCAATACCCCCAGCACCTTGCTTTCACCTACAGTGGGAAACCTGCTTAGTCTGAGGCCAGTTCCCTGTGACTGTCCTGGGAAGGCAGAGTGGAAAGGGAACCCCAGTCTAGCTGTCTATGGGCAAGAGGGAGCAGCACAAAGCTGAGAGGGGATGGTGGCCCATGGAGGGTCAGAGGAGAAAGACCTCCTCAGTCCTACTGCCTAACACCAGCGGATCTGTGGTCTTCCAAAGGTTAAGATAATGAAGGGTTGGCACTTGAGGCTGTGCCTATGTCCAGAAGTGGGGATACAGGGCTACACTTAGGTCTGCCCCTGAGACCCCACTACTGAGTTCTGAATTTCTGAGACCTGATGGGATTGTCAGGGAGAGTATCAGCATGCAAATGTCCCCAGGACAGATCACAGCCAACACAGCCAAGTGTAAACCCATCTTCCTTCAAGGCAAGGGGTTCTGTGACCATCAGCAGGTCCCCAGGCCTGTGCCCAGCTCAGGCCCACCTGACGATATCCTTCTATGGTATCTCAGCCCATTTCCCCATCTAAGAGTACAAAGGGTTCTGGCCTTAGAGGTCTGAGCTGGGGACACTGAGGGTGGCAGAAGTATCTAAGGGCACCTGCCAGGACAGCCTCACTGTACCCACACCCTGGCTCCGTTCTCATCCTCCCACCCAGAGGGGCCCAGAGAGCACCTCAGCTGTGCTGAAGAGAGGGCTAGCCCCCCAGAGACCACACCTCTGACATTTCCCAGGGAACAGGGACGCCTTACCTCACATACTGAAACACAGTCAGGGGATAGGGCAATCAGATGTTCCTGTCGCTTCTGGAATCAGATTTCTTCCTGCACCCCAGCCAGTAATACCAGGATGGGGGCAGCTCCCTCCCCACCCAGCCTTGCTCAACATGAAACCAGGTCTGGGGTTTCCTCTGTGACTACATCGGTTTCCTACTGACCTCTGCCCAAAAAACTCTCGCAGTCTGAAGCTGTGCCTGTCTTCAGCAGGCAGCTCTCGAGCCTTAATGAGCACCTCTGAGACTCCCTTTCCTGCTGTGAGCCCTGGGGGACCTGGGAAGAAGGACCCCAGTATAGAAACCATGTACTCAGAATGCACTTTAGGCCCCACGTTCCTGGTTCCCTGCAAAGGCAGCCCTGGTGGGACCAGAGCCTGTGTTAGATTAGGAAGTCCCTGGCAGCTCCCTGAAACCTGGGATGTTAAACAGTTGTCCTGAGATTGCATCCACACCTCCAAAACATCTCTGCAGTGATGACTGGGCTGGTTTGCAAATTCTTCTTCACTTGTTCGCATGCGGGGGTGTGTTCGGTCATACCTGCAGGTCTCAGGCTGATGTGTGGATGTGGACGCTCAGGCTCACCTGGGCAGTCTGGGCCCCACAGGAAGGAACTCCCTCCACTCCTCAGACAGTAACACAATTGCTCCTCTTCTCAAGGAGGGACGTGGCAGTAGCTCTGAGGTGATCATCTCTGGGCTTCCGCTGGCAGCCCCTCTCTAGATACAGGAGTCTGAACTGTCTGGGCAAGAGACCCTGTGACTAAGTCATCCCTTCAGGTATCCGTTGTATCCTTTTGGCTTTCTCATGACGACACTGGTGACAGCTCAGAACACACTGGCCTCAGGCAGCTCTGACCTTGTGTCCCTGGGAGCATGAGCTCACAGGCAATGTGCTTCTTTTCCTCGCCCCTTCCCTGCTATGGGGGACATGAGAGAGCCCTGGGACAGGGAGCATCTGAACATGATATTGGAGTTCTCTCGATCCATGTCTCTGACAAGAGACCAGTTGTGCAAGACGGCTATGCCTTCCCTTTCCCAGTGCCCAGACCTGCATGGGGTGTGTCCTTTGGTTGGGTTGGGGCTTCCATAGCTCAGTCACTACAGGGGCCCCGAGACTAGGTGGTATGAGCTTGTTGGGGAGAGGCCAGTGCAGCCTGGGTGTGGGTATACAGCTGGCTTTTGTACCAGACATCTCTCTCAGCACAGGGCCATAGCGTGAGGAGATCACTGGCCTCTCAGTAAACCTCGCGGGTAGCA